TATTTCAGTCGTCTTTTTATAATCAGTTAGTTGCTTCATAAAAAAAAAGTTTTTCTTTCACCTAGAAGAGGAATACATTCGCTAGGTTATATTTGAAAAAGTGTGTGTGTGTGTGTGTGTGTGTGTGTGTGTGTGTGTGTAAGTATAAACCTCAGCGTTTCAACGGGAATCACTAAAATTTGCAGTCCTTTTCGCACACAACAAAATTTTCTTTCCCGGGATGAAATCCTGATTTTCAGGATCGCAAGAACAGTTTTTCGTTTTTCTTTGCCGCTTGTTAACAACATCATGTCCGCTTTGGAAGAAAACACTGCCTTATTTAACAATGTCGAAGTTTATAAAAGCCCGTCCTGGCATTTACCACTTTTTATGTTGTCGGCATTTCGAATTGAAAGAATTGGCTACAAAAATTATGTCTACTCATAAGGTGATAGAGCGTAATCTCGACGGCAAGGGTACAAATCTCATGACGTCCTTATTACTTTATCAACTATAAACTGGGTTCTATGCCGATTTGGGCGCCCCAGATCAATCCCGCTGGCGGGTGATTGCTGTGGCAAAGATCGATAGCAATAGCTGAGAGACAGGCGAAACAAAGGACCCGCATGGTGTGGTGGTGAACGTGCTACTCCCCGGAAAGGACAATAGCGCGTTCGTTCCCCACCATAGACACCTGCGGTCCAGAGTTTTGCAAATATCTCAGCAACGTCGTGGTTGTATTTCGCTTAGTACCCTGCCGCGAAATTATAGTAGGCAGAAAATAGAAAGGTATAACATTTATCAACTATGTTAATTAGAAGATTGTGTGGGTGTATAGTGCAGTGTTTCGAGGTGGCTTGCAATACACACGTGGTCTTTGGTTCAATTCTCCACCCAAGGCTCGCCAAGCCTTCCTTCCCTCCGGAGTCGGCAAATTGGAGCCAAACTTCTCTGCGAGGACAGCAGCAGTGACTCGATACGTGGGTTGGCCACCGTGAGTCATTGTAAAGGCCAGATATGCAATCAATGGGATCTAAGGTGCTTGACGAAGTCGAATGCATGGACCATTCTTTAGGAACTAATCAACGTCGAAGAATCCATCACTGTTCATCCAGTGTTCTCGACGTCACAAACTATCGCAGAGAACAGATTTCCATCGAACATATTTCTCGGAAGGAGGGTAGCGAAGACTGTGACGACGACCTCGCTGCGATTCTTCCTCCTCGTGTTGCGCCAGTTGAGGGTGCTTTTTCATATGCCTTGTATCTTTCGAATGACGGATGATGGTTGAATTGTAAATACTAATTTGCTCTACAACTTCGCTAGCATATTTAGAGTGTAAACTGCAATAATCGCTTTCAAGTGACTGTCGTGCATAACGGCGACCTCTTTCCTACTTGAGGCTTGCGAAGATTTTGGAATCAAGTGAGCATCAAAGGAGCGTTCGGATACATTTAAGTTTGCTGTTCTTAATCTGTCGCTCAACTAATCAGAAGAATTGCTGCTGAAGTGGAAGGGACCTGTTCGTGAGACTGCAAACCTCTCTGTGATTCAAAAAGGCCGGCGACTGCTCATGTAGAACAACTAACAACAGAGTAGCACGGATATCTTAGAATTTCAGCAGAGGAAAAGTTTTTAGATGCTCAAGCATTAGGTGGAAACATTAGCGAACTCAGCTTTCTGTATCGGTAATTGTAGAAAAACGAACGATAGAGGTGATGGAGCAAGCACAACATGAAGGTACAGGCGAACTAAGTATATGGAAAGTGTAACGCAACTAGGTCCATCAAAGGCAGAGATACCATCCGATTGAATTTCTAGGAAGTTTAAGGCATTCGGACATATGTAAAAATGTCAACATCCCAAATCAACATCCCAGGAAACCGCGCGAAAAACGACCGCCCACTCGATGTGGACGAGTTGTCCGTCCGGACGCTATAAGACGCCTCCGAACGCAATTTTCGTGCGGTTTTCGCTATTTTACAACCGGCTGTCAGCTAGTCACGCTCACCTGCAAACACCCACGGCGGATACTGTAACCTCGGACGAGTTATCCGCCGAAAGCCCGGAAAATGCGATTTTCGCCGCTCCGACGTTATTTCCAGCCGGTTGTCAGCTAGTTGGCCGTTTCTGACCCGCCAGATAAGATACCGCCACCGCGAACGAGATAAACGCGTGCGAACGACTCGTCCGTTAGAACGCCGAAAACGCTATTTTCGATTTTCCGACGTCATATTTCCAGCCGGATGTCACTACTACCGGGTTAATCGCGGCGGATTCTGATGCGCCAAGATCCAATTTATTACATTCTGAACAGTTTAGACCTTAATGAATCCTAGAAATGTTTTTATATTCTCTTGAAATGCTAGAAATCAATTTCACAACATTTCGATTTTTGGTGGGTTTTGAGATATTGCTTGCGTGTTTCGATCCATTAAGGACTAAACGCTGCTGGTTTTGATGCGCCGAGATCCAATTTATTATATTCTGAATAGTTTAGACCTCAATGGATCCTAGAACTATTTTTATATTTTCTAGAAATGCTGAAAATCAAATATAATCCACTGATGAATTTGCAACGAATTCAAATCGTTGCTCAGAAGCCGAGCACATTTCAGTTGACACAGAGTGATGATACTGTTGCGACGTCAAAGGTGTGCCTCTCACTAAAAGTTAGCGAGTAAGCTAAATGTCACGTTGTCTCACGTCCACCGACTTAATAAGAACCTTAGTAGACTCGTGAGAGAGTGAAAAAAAGGTTACGAACCTCCACAACCACGACCCCTCTGTTCATTGCACAAAGACCTTTCTTGAGCTACACAGCAACATTGCAACTAGAATTCCACCATCCTTCGAGGATCATAGCTTTCAGAAAAGACCTCTGGTGTTTCCTACTGCTACTTTAGGTAACATAATTTTTATGTGTGATGTGACGAGGTGGAACATAAATTGGTGGTGTTTGATGGTGAGATAAATGTATGTTCCAGAGATTACGATTGCTAGAAATGCAGCACTTTATTCTAGAACAACGCTTAGCAGCACTGCTGGAATTTGTTCACGACTAAAAGTACGTCAACAAACTTGGTACTGTATACTTTTCGAAAGCGAACCGCTTGACGACCCCATAATTTTCCACTAAAGCTCACTTCGGATTTAGCAAATATAATGTCGATTTCTAGGAGCTTGCAGGGAACATCGTTAACAGCATTTTCCAAAACATGGTTATCGGCATCCGTGTTGGGTTAACGTCATCTTGCGATGTCGCCGATATAGTACCAAACCTGTTTCGAAAAAGCTCCATGAAATGTAGTGGTGACTGTCTTTGGTGGACAACAGAGACATGGCGGTCGACGTATTCCATGTAGAATTAAGCTCAACCAGCGTTCAACGAAATTCACGAAGTTAAATCCTCAAGCTGTAACTTACAGTTAAATCCGATGACCTCAGTGGATGACAGACACGTGACAACGACCGGATAAAAGTGGGCGGAAAGTCACAACACGTGAAGGCAAGTAACACAAATAATTATGCATAGTATTTTTAGAAAGATCTTCTATCTCATTACTCCAAAAGCGCTGGTTGTCTAACAAGTGCATTTATATAGAACATTATACACCAAATAATGAATGCTGTCTAGCAATTCTGAATCAAATTCTCATAACTTTCCTCGGCGAATTATTGGATCGCTTTCACACGAGCTTTGTGTTCAAGCAGCTCTATCAAGTCGTAAAACCGAGAAACGTACATGGATCTTTTTTTGAACATAGCTCATGTTTCTGCCATCAAAACCCAGCAGATTACAAAAGGGATGCAGTGGCAACACTGATCATCCTTTAATCGGCTCATCTGGTTCCCTTAGATTTTCCATCTTCTTCTAGCCTCATTTAACGTCAGAGAATTCCAGCGGAGAGCTCGACATTACTATGAGCAACCTTAACTTCCGCTCTACGTTGTGTTTTGTTTAAGGTTCCTGTTTATGTATTCTTTTATAAGGATGCTAAGTGTTCTACATGTTTCATTAATGAATTCGTCTCGCCACATTTTGCAAGAGATCAGACAAACCATAGCCGAACTCGTGCAATCACCGTCATCAATGTTAGGACATGTTATGCAATTTTCCGTTGTGCACACACCATCGCACACGCGGTTACGAACTAGCTGGCATCTGAGCGTGTCCGGTTGTATTATATTCCCCGCTCCCGAACTCTCTAAACCGGCTGTCGTCTTGACACCTATATTGTTTACTCAAATGAATGCGTAGATATGAGCAAAATTCGGGACTTCAATTAGGCTTCGAAACTGCGACTATCATTACCGGAGCTCACGTGTTCTAACCGCCACCCCAACCGAGGCTCCTGCTTTGCTTTTCTCCCAACCATCTTTTCACTCTATCGCTGGTAGCAGAAATTTCCTGCGAATGGAAATGATCTGGAGGGCACAAATCTGCATCGAACTCAGTTATGTCGATGCTACAATCGAAATCCTAACTTCTTATTTTATTTCCTGCCTACTTTTTTTCGTGGCATGGCCTGCACATTATAAATTTCTTGTAATCATCGTATCGTTGTTACCTTTAACACAACTGAGCGCTCTAGAGCTGAGTCGAAAATTTAATGTTGAACAATCTAGCACAGTGCATAATCTGTCTTAGTTCGAAACACTCTTTGTAACTTCTAAACTGTTTTGGTGTTGCATGACAATCCAACTTGAAAAGATCCGATTGCACGATTTCTGTGTTTTTCCCAGAATTAGAGACATATTCCGTTCAACGAGAAAACAAATGTTTCTGTTAACATGCTTCAACGTAGAAATAAAAAACAATAGGAGAACAACTTAGTCCTTAAGGGAAATCCTTGAATTACATCAGAGCTGCTCTACTCTAGAAATTCTCTGGATAAAGTGGGTTATTCACTGCAATGTGTACACAAATTTCCGAGGTTTTATTGGCTTAACGAACGATAACATTACCGCCTGCAAAAACATGAAACGAAACAGAGGAAGCACAGCAACAACACAAATGACTAATAAGGTATGACTTCAAGTTGGCGATTGAAGAACCCTCCACTGTGCTGCTTTTGTAGCCTTGACATTGATCCCACCAATGCAGAAGCAGACTCCTCGACCTAAAAAAATATGTCTTCAGAGGGTTACGAAGCGGCAGTTGAGTGGCATCACGATTCGTTCAAATTGAAAAGAAAACTTCGTAATTATATACTTAAATTGACAAGGAAGGATGTTCCACGTTTTCTCTTCAAGAAAGACTCTTCTAAACTCTCCAAAACTTAGAGGCATCCTAAGAACAAAAAGCTCACTGCAACCCGCAAACGTAAGGAAAAGTTGAGTGCTACAGCAACGAGGAAGGATAAATTTTACACAGCAAATTTCCATTCTACCTACCAAAATATCCGGAATTTTGAGTAGTGACTTACAGTAAGTCGACCTATTCTTCCACATTTATTTCCCATTTCGGTTTGCACCCAACCAGGACAAAATTGAACGACAAGGATTTTATCATCCGCGAGGTCGATAGCAATTGTTTTCCCTAACTGATTCAGGCCGGACTGGAAAAACTCACCATAAGAAAAACTTGCTCAGTAGTTCCAGCAATAGCAGCTGATTCTAGCCAAGCCAAAAAAATTCTGAAAACATACTTTACTAATCTTATAGGCGAGAGAACCAAGTTCGCTACATCCATCCTCGTTTTTTCCAACAGAACCATAGAAACTCGAGATATTTATGATTGCTGCACGATCAACACCAAAGTGATCACCTGTACCACGAGAGGATGCTTTACGCAATAAAGGTAAAAAGGTCTAAAAACATGAGAATCATTGATTGGCCATTTAAAATTACTACGAAACAAAAACGAAAATGCCCTAACATATAAATCGAAGTACTCCAAGCCTTACACCTATGCAATAAGGTTTTGTACTAATGTGGAAACTATCATTTAATCTCAAATAAGCACCTGACAAGTGACAACAGCTCCTATGGTGTTGACATTGAGACAGTCTAAAAGCGTTTGTCGATCAATGGCTCCAGTGGTGAAATATGGTGGAAAAATGGCCGCATTGTTTAGTAAGACATTCAATCCGGCTTCTCCGACTAACTTCTCTACCTAGGAATGGCTGAAGTAGCGTGATTTGTTGAGTGATGTATTTCGAGAGTGTTCACTGTTTGCTGAAATCATCAGTTGTATTTGCCAACCAAACTGGTGGTAGCACAAAGGTTCTATTAATCTTTCACAACAATTGCCTGGTCAATACGATTTGCAATAAAATTACACTGACACTCCCTTGCGAAAAATTTCTCTTCTGCCTCAGTAATCCCATCACCATCGATTTTTTCTGCCCTATTTGCTTCCTTTCCCGTTCTCTTTTTATCTGTTTCGCAGTATCTAACACATCTGAGCAACTGCTTTCTCGTCCCCACTTCCTCTACATCGCTGCACTTCTTGGTCGCAATTAACACGGCAAACATTGTAGAGATACCAAAATAGAGCTGCTTTCTAGTTCCATAAAAATGAAGATGAAGCTCTCGGCGTTGATCAATCCCCGAGGGATGCTCCATGTATTAGACTTCATCACGCATCGTTTGGGGGTCATTGAATGTATTTCTGTCCTCTAAAACGCCTCGCGGTGGCCTAACGATGTATCGAGCCAGCGCTGGTATCGTGCCAGACAAGTTTGGTATCAATTTTCCAACCCCGAAGGGATGAAGAGCTTGGTATGCCTAGGGCGTGGAGGTCAATCCTATGTGTATTCTTTCTTGATAAGCTTGCACGAGGTTGATAAATATATTTATTTTCGGCTAACGTTTCGACGTCTTCGTCTTCCTCAGAGCCGGTGATCCGAGTCGATGGTCCATGCTTGTTGTTCGCCTCGACGTTGCGTCTTCGCCTTCCTGTCGAGCCAGATCTTCCTCAGCGAGCCATCTTCTCGAATGAGGCATCCTCACTCAGTGATGCCCTTTTATACACGATGCTGATGGTGGATATATAATGACAATGTCCGGTGGTAACAACTTGTATTTCTTCCGGACATACATCATTGCGCACATCGTGCAGAGGTCGGTGTATTATCAGCTAGCACAAAGCGTAGTAATATTTCGAAACCGACCTTCCCTAAACCTCGGTGTGACTAATCAATATGTATTCTTTCTTGATAAGCTTGCACGCTTGAGGTTGATAAACAGCTTGAGGTTGATAAATATATTTATTTTCGGCTAACGTTTCGACGTCAAGAAAGCTTATCAAGAAAGAATATATATTGATTAGTCACACCGAGGTTTAGGGAAGGTCGGTTTCGAAATAATCCTATGTGTATTTCAGGGCACCTCCGACCACTGCGCCACACGTGCCCTTATTTCTAGTTCCATATTAAAACAAAACCTCTACGTATGCCATGTTGTAGTGGCGAACTCTAACTACAGCAAAAACAAATTTCTCTCGTTTAAAATTACGTCTTGCGAAGAGGAAATAGAAGATACTCAACCCATTAAATTACACTCGTTAATGTAGGTCTCTCTTCATCACTACTGTTTCTCTAAATAAAAACGCTTTAGGTATTAGAATGAAATGCTTGCACCGAACCATTTACATTACTTTACCACTTACTGGAAGACCAGGAGCCTCGTTATTTGCTTCTTCTTCAGTGAATCAAACAGAAACAGCGAAGCACCATAGCTAATTATATATGATGTAGAAAATCGTCATAAAAACGTCCAGAGTAATCCAAAGAAACAGGAACGAACCTCTACATAGGCCTCCTTGATTGATCGGTCGCACGATACATCCATTTTGAGGATTTTTAGCCGACTATCGGTGATAGCATTCAAACCCTAGAAGGTGTTAAGGTAACAGTATACAACCACGTTTGACATATTTTGCCTTTATTCATATTAACAACGCTCTTGCAGCTTACTCCATACGTATAATCAATTGTTCATTGGTACACTTCATCAACTAACTTCACTTCCTTCTGAGCAAAAATGTCATTCACCAAGCTTTTGGTCTTAAGCCGAATACTATAGCTGGCACAATGTTGCCGAGATATTTGCAAAACTCTGGACCCCAAGTGTCTGCGGTGAGAAACCATGGTTGAAACATTCCTACACCAACGTTCCGAACAATTCTTCTATTCGTTTCACCGTGTTGCTACCGTAAATAATAGAAGTGGTTGCGTCCGAATGTAGATTCGTATGCATCTTCAGGATATGTGGACCACCTTCGTTTTTAAGATGTTGATTGCAAGCCGGGAGTGATTCTCTCCAAGAAAATCGTGAGAACCGTGCGTTCTGGAGCAGCTCAGACAGTTACTGTTTGCTGTAGATCGGAATTAAGTATGTTACCTTGCTACTCGGGGGTGCAAGCGGTGACAGAGTGATGGCACAGAATCCTACAATTATTCGACAAACTGTTCGATAATGTTACAAGCCTACTCACAGTCTAAAAGATGCCTCGGAAGATGATTTACTACAGACCTTGCTCCACAGCGATGACGTTTCAAGCACTCCTGTCGCCCAAAAACCCCAGCACAAGAAGAATACCGCACCGAACAACACGACAACAACAGTTTCGATGAAGAGCAGACAATAGTTAAAAATACTTTTAAAAACCCTCTGAAACTCCAGTTCTACTTCAATAACTTATTTATGCTACTTTCTGTACACAAAAGAAAAGAATACAAAGTCGAAAAAAAGAAACCAACCTTCGCGTTGTCTGGGTTCAGTGCTCCAGCGATTACTAGCTTTACACAAGGAACTTTGAGGAACTCCTTAACCAAGCCAAGACCAATACCTCTGTCTGTTCCTGTGATTAGAACGGATGTTGGAAAAGCCATCTAAATAGAAACGTTTAACAATAACACATAAGTAACAAATGGTAGCGCTTATAATCCGCGTATCGCTATAATACGTCATCATTTTAACCTACTGCCATCCTAATTGTCTCTTTTGGAGCATAATTTCATCGTCATACTTTTAATATCTGTCAGATAGCATACTCACTGAAGGTTGTTGTACTAGTAGTGCCAAAAAAACTAATGTTTGCAAAAAACTTCTCTGGACAAGCTTGTATCTTCCGCCGAGAGAGCCTCGTTGTGGAAGAAAATGGTAACAGAGACATCTCTGCTGTAACTACTCATGCTCACTAAATACACGCACTTGATCGAAGGGTTTTCGCACTGTATTTATAAGAAAATTTCTCAACATATTCACCCCCATTCAAACATGGTCGCCTCTAAGAAATTATTTCTCATAATAAAAGTAACCCTAGGACAATGTAACATGCCTCTCAATGCTTTACCGACTCATTGTGGCTTGGAGGTGTTCCTAGGTGACGGGCTGCGATGCACACCGGAAGATTCGTCCTCCCGGCAGGGTCTACCATGTTGAGAAGGGGTCCGGCGTTTTCGTCAGAATCCCAGCTAAGAGTAAACCAACGCCAGGGTTCACCACCGTCTTGGTATCAGTGGCGAATCACCCTCTGATCCACAAGAGCAGAGACTGCCTTTCGCGGCAGCGACCTGCGGCAGACCTTGGCTAGGCTGACTTCGCGAGTCCAGGGAAGCACAATGGCTAAACAAGCAAAATTCCGACAAGTGGAATCCGCACAACAAGTAAAGACGGGCCTCCAAGTGTCCAAGTAATGAACATGACTTAAGAGTGGCATAGACCTTACACATTAAAATACATTAGGCCAAAACACATCAAAATGTCTTATTCGTGGTGAGATTGAATTCTTATCAAAACTCGAATTAACGTGAAGAAATATCGCGTTAAGATTGGTGGATGAAAAACCACGATAGTTCTATGAACGCAAGCTGGTGACAGGTTTACGTACGCGTAAATTTCGATTTACAGAGAGCTATGAAATTCAGTAAAATGAGGATTTTTTACTTCATATAGGAGGAAAATCTGGATAGTGTTTCGTCGATGAAAATCTGAAATTGCATGATCACACCTGATTCAGGCCTAGGTATTTGTAAGGACTATCACGGAGTACGCTCCTGTCTGTCACATGCACGTGTTTTACTCGAATAATGCTAAGGATTCGTAATAAAACATTGACAGGTGACAGCTATGTAGCAAACAGGTTCTCTTAGAGAGTTCATTATTGTGCATCACATCCAGACAGGTTTACTGAACTGTGACGAGCGTGTGAAGTGGCACGTCGTCTCACTTTCACCGATGGAAAGACAGTTGAGAGAACGGTCATGGAATCTCTAGACAAACATGGTCTCCTTTCTCACTTCATAGAGATCTTTTTTAAACTAAACAAAGACTTAGCAACCAGAAGTTCGGTGCGTATGCATACTAATCGTAATAGTAGTAGGACGCTAAATTCGATGAGAAATAGAAAACGGTCAAATATCTCGTGGGCATATATCATTAAAACTTGAAGCGACATGAACTGTATATTTAACTAGAAGGAATAATATATCAATTAGCGCTGTTCCATCATCACCAGTTTCGATAAATCCCTATCGGGATATCGCTTGTTCTGCTTGTAGCTCATCCAAAAGCCCTTGATGTGCGCAGTAGGATAGCCTTCGTGAGGAGCTTGTGGAATACAACCAAGAAGCACATCAGCTGATAACTACGAAAACCTTTTCGGCCACCCTTAAGGAAGAAAATCGAGAGCGATCCCCTCCATTAATAGAGGATTTTTTTCGCTTTGAAGAAAGAAGATGTAATGTGGGCTGTGGGTAGTACATTGAGTTCATACATTCCAGTTTCAAAAAAGTCGGCTATCATATTACCAAGTCCTGCAACTGTTCGTCTTTCATGCTTTCTGTCTCAATTTGAACTGCAGAGAGTAGAATCCCATGCGTTTTTACACTAATGAGGATTTCGAGGTCCGAGACTGAGATTGTAGAGCGAAACAAATCGGTATAGAACTTTCCCGTTATCAATTTCATATCATAGCTGTGGTGGTAGTCCCTTCTTCGTTCATAATGGCGAATAGGAGATAATAGTAGTCGCATAGATCCCGACGGCAGCTCTTCATACTGGTTCGCCTTTGATCTGCTTCCAATAACTTCCTTTTATTGGTACAGATGTAAGTTCACAAGATCGACTTTCTCTTAACCTCGGCATTGATTGACAATTCGATGTTTTACTTCAATAAGCAGATATTAGGTTGTTATTATAGAATTTATTAGGATACAATAGCTGACGTTTCGGCGGTTTCGGCTTCTTCAGAGCCTGGAAAGGTCAAATTGAGATACGATCTACTCAGCCAAACACTTCCATAACCCTAGCAGATGAAACTTAGCAAATAAATTTGTATTCGCATAAGAAACAACTTCATTTAAACACCCACCGTTTATCTATTGTAGGTATTTAAGTTAATTCATGGATAGCCGCCGCACAGAGTAGTGCATGGGCGATAACTGTGTCTGTGTCAGGCCACTGGATTAACCTGAGGTATGGCGCTAGGTCACGCGTGATGACAAGACACTCCTCCTTGCGGTTCACTTTTGAATTTTTGGAATTGATCCAAAACACTCCAAGAGTTTTACGCCCTGGTGTTTTCGATTCCTGCGTGAGGTTAGTGACTCCTACTTCAAAATCCTCTCCGTTGTGCTCCTGCATCCTATGCGCGCCCAGTGGAGTGTTTGGTTTTAATTTAGATTTACCGACTACGTGTTCTTTTATGCGGACGCAGAGCGGTCTACCCGTTTCGCCAACGTATTCGTCCCTGCACGCTTTACAAGAGATCAGATAGACTGTGCCCGAACTCATGCAATCACCGTCTCTACTGTTAGGGCAAATTATGCAGTTTTTCGTTAAACATAGACGGTCATATAGGCGGTTGCGAACTAGCTGGCGTCTTAGAGTGTCCGATGGTATTTCTATCACTCCTACGGAATTCTCTAGACCGGCCGTTATTAAGCAACGTTTTATAGCTGCACTTATTCCGTTCGAAATATAGGGCAATAGGAACGGAGCCTTGTTTTCGCTAGAACTATCGCTCTGGGGCGTGGTTTTTCTTCTATGCTTATGCCTAGAAGTTACAGTTTCGTAACCATTTGAAATGGCTATTTGGCCCGCCAGTTTCGAGGATTGTTCCCTCTGATCTCTACTTGTGCACACGCTGGCGGCGGTTGGAAACATGTTTCTTATAAGTGCCCTTCAGGTGTGTGAGGGATGAGAGGAGAGGTAATTGCTTATTGAAGAGAAACATCGAATTATGATAACTTTAGTGCGTGACTTGAACAGCAGTAGGAAACGACCTCGCACAAATCAACAAAATTGATAGATGATACGTGCACAAAAAACTCGAGGTCACAAACATTTCCTAATGGAGTCTTTTCCCCACGAATCCCCGCATGGGTCCCTTCACTTAATTGACGTTTGTTCCTTTTCCTACATTTTTTCTCCTGGATGATGCAACCGACAGCTCCAAGAAAATATAAAGGCTGGCGTCAATTCCAGAATTAAAACTGCAGAGAGGAAAGCATTTTATATGACGTGTAATGCTAGTTTTGAGTGATACGGTTAGAATGACGGCCTCTGAAACACGAAATATTATCGCCTCTCGCTAGTTCTTTCTCCGCCTGATGCCATGGACAGAATCACTGTCATCTATACACTCAGTGTTCTAGGTGGTGAAAAATAGTCTCTTACTGGTTGAGAAATTTGTTCTTTCTTGTAGTCCTGATCAAATTTTCACTAAAATGTCGATATGAGAGGAGCTATGTCTCAGCACTGGTTTCCTTGATTTGTCGTTCCACTAACTGATAGGAAAACGATGTCTTAAATATGGAAGTAGGAACAAAAAAGACCGATCGATCGAGAAGAATGTGGGAAGCCGAGCATTGAAGTAGAAAAATGAATTAGGTTTCAAGGATTAAAACGAAAGAAGTGGAGGACTCATGGTGTTACACAGGAAAAAATTCGAACAGTGATGAGAGGCTCACCACCTATTGGAAGTGCCGAAAGAAAATTAAAAAGTGAATTGGTAATCGGATGTTCCTTTCTGAAAAAACAGTTAACAGATGCTAAGTATTAAAAACGTTTGAGAAAACTACAAGGTTCACTGAAAAATACTTCCTCTAAACGCTCTCCGTGGTACTAGAGAGCAGGCATACCTCGTGATATGCGTTGTGAAAAAGAACGGCGATGTCAAAAGACGTCTTATTAGCACGAGTTTAGCCGCGAATGTCGACTCTTCTCAACAAGCAATCAGAATTGGACGTTTAAACCGAAAACAAGTAAACCAAAACGAAGCATTCCATACGATATAGACCAATAAGAACTGGGCGCTTGGTGCGATTTTACACAGCAGAATGCACTACAACATGGTCATCATGTCATCATTGGCATCATCAACGCCAAGGTCAAATCTTAAAAACATCTGAAGAACTTCAAAATCACCTCTATCACCTGTAGTTCCATTGATCGTCGAATGAAAAGGGCACGCGCCCGCAAATTTTCCACTTTTCCCTGTCGCGTACAAGAGTAGCCCAGAGGGTTCTGCTCATTTTGGAGACTCGGTGAGCATCATATCTTTTTTCTAGGCTTTTCCTGAAGAGCTTTGACTAGTCGAGGGTCGTTCTGCAGTGCGTTTGACATCCCGGGGAATTCACTCACTAACAGCTAACAGCCCACCTTGTCTTCAACTGTTTGACATGCAGAAGAGCACCTTTGATTTTTGACCGTTGACGCAGGTCGGAGCTTCGGATCGCTTCCCTTAGTTGCGTGACACAGGATACTCCTAGCATCGTCCTTTCGACTGCGCGTTCAAAAACGCTGAGTGATTTTTCATCCTGTTTACGCAGCGACCAGGTTTCTGACGCATATGTTGGAGCAGGAAATATCATCGAGTCGAAAAGAT